TAGCGTGTAGACTTCATTACTCGTTCCTTCAGGTTCTTCCATTTAACGCCAAATTCGATTTAGTGCCAATTTCACACGCTAAATCGAGATCCCACAAAAAATAGAATACAATTATCATCGGTAAATAGCAAGAGCTTATTGTTTAAAGTGCGCATTATACATGGTTTTTTGAGTCTCGACTGGAAAAATAAATTTATATACTTTATGATTACTAAATAAACTTTGAATACAAAAATAATAAGATAGACTAAGTCTTATTTACTAATTGTTTTATATAAATTTATCGTAGGTAGTGTACGAGATGTGTACAAAGATACAAGAGCGAGAGAATGACAAGAAAAATTAAGTTAAAGATAATAATCTTTGATATCCTCCAGGTATATACAGTATTTACTGTATATTACACTCGTAGGCCTATACGTGTCTGTGTGTTTATATATCATAATCCAATAAATATAAATTTGATAAACTCTCTTCATTTTTCATATTAAAAAAAAAAACACTTGAAACTTAATTCGTTTCCTTGATAAAGATTCCCTCAGACAATTTCTTAAAAATGTTTTTCTAACATCTGATAGAAACCAAAGCATCTCAAAGTGACAAAAATCTTATCAAGTATCTTTTCCCCGCTTTTAGCGTCAAATTAGATTTTACTTAATAACAAAAAGAGCGGAACAAAAAGAAAAATTTATATATATATATAAAAAAGGGGAGCGATAATTTTTATTTTATTAATAACGTCAATGGCAACATACAAGCTTCCGACCTTTTTCTTTCTATAGATATTGAATAGGTCTTTAATATTAAACATCAGGCTGACAAGTCATTAATGGTATGTCATTGTAACAATATTTTTTCCCACTTTCGTTCTCAATAATCGGAGATTATGGAAAAGACGATAATTAGAAGTCGGTCGTCAAATAGATAAACTCGACATAAAAGCACTCGTGTCAAGAAGCCAAGTGACAACGTGACAAGACATTCAATAATTCGTTTCTTGTTACCAAGAAAACAAGGTAAAAAAAAATATAATAATAATAATGCATGAATTAGTACTCACCTAAATGCAAAACATACTATTAAAGCAATTAGTGTATATGTTGTCCCTGAGAAAGCAACATTATTACAAAAATATTGATTTTTGTTTTCTTTNCTGATAGAAACCAAAGCATCTCAAAGTGACAAAAATCTTATCAAGTATCTTTTCCCCGCTTTTAGCGTCAAATTAGATTTTACTTAATAACAAAAAGAGCGGAACAAAAAGAAAAATTTATATATATATATAAAAAAGGGGAGCGATAATTTTTATTTTATTAATAACGTCAATGGCAACATACAAGCTTCCGACCTTTTTCTTTCTATAGATATTGAATAGGTCTTTAATATTAAACATCAGGCTGACAAGTCATTAATGGTATGTCATTGTAACAATATTTTTTCCCACTTTCGTTCTCAATAATCGGAGATTATGGAAAAGACGATAATTAGAAGTCGGTCGTCAAATAGATAAACTCGACATAAAAGCACTCGTGTCAAGAAGCCAAGTGACAACGTGACAAGACATTCAATAATTCGTTTCTTGTTACCAAGAAAACAAGGTAAAAAAAAAATATAATAATAATAATGCATGCATTAATTATAGATTAATAACAATTTTTATAATGTACAAGTGGATATTAATATTAAATTTTTCATTATAACTTAAAATTTCTAGATATATAACGTGACTGGCATCATTACAGAAGGATCACTTTAACATTAAATATACTAAATTTTTATTTTCTCTTGCTTAAAAGTGAATTATAATCTTAGCAAACACGAACTTTATACAAAATATTCATATCTAAAGACTTTATAATTAATTTTGAAGTATGTTTGAATCACTTTCGGCCCGTCTTCCTTTATCAAAACATAACTTTAGATAGAGGAAAATTGCTTATAAAATTGCAAATAGCTCTTAAGAAAGATAGAAAATTAAAAATCGAAAGGAGATTTATCATTTAATTAAAACGCTTTAAGTAATTTTCCAATGTACAATTAATGTACTGTCGAATCCGAATTTTCTACAAGATCTGGGACATGTCATGTTTAAGAGAGAACAAAGAAAAATCCAATAAAATTCAATTAATAAAGAGAAACAAAGTAAAGGAGACAAAGTCGATACTTGATGTTGCCAGTGAATGGTATTTGTAATTAGATTTTAATTACAAAATTGTTCTATTTGTTTGTAGATTGTCATCTTCATCATTATTTTCTTTCTGTCACTTTCTGAATATATTTTATTACACAAAGTTTTAATTATCTCTTGTATTTCGACTTTTAAACTTAACCATAAATCCTCAGGTATTCACTAAAACCTAATTCGAATAGAATTTTAATTCATTTTTCTCTATCTTATAATCATTTCGTTCATTATAATAATCTGCGAATGGCTTCGACCTTCCCCCTAAATATTAAATAGAAAACACTTCAGTAACTGTAAATTACTAAAAATTCATTTGTTTCGTCAAAATTGTCTACACCATTACGTCATTTCGACGCCATTTTAAGCTTCCCCAAAGCAGGAACTGCATGTACTGTACACTAGTAGAAACGAATACACCTTATCAGATTAGCGTGTAGACTTCATTACTCGTTCCTTCAGGTTCTTCCATTTAACGCCAAATTCGATTTAGTGCCAATTTCACACGCTAAATCGAGATCCCACGCAAAATACGAATGTAATAAAGAAAATTGCGTCATTCGACGAGTAAATGGCACCTTCAGTGACGTGTCAGTGACGAAATAAAAATCGCAGAAATTATAATTAATTTACTGAAAATATATGGAAATTTTTTAGTAAAAAAATCTTTATTTTTTTATCAATTTTTTTTTATTTTTAAGAAGAAAACTTCCGCCATTTTATTATATTTTTAACGAAGGGAAAAGTCTTCTTCCAAGCGATTTCTAGAGTCGAAAACAGCTGACTCTGCACTGGTACACGATCGAGAAAATATTCTAGAGTTAAATATTCTTTCAATATTCAATAATATCTTTGAATTTATTAAATAATAATAGTAATAATAATAATTTAAAATTCAAAATATCAAAGGAACAATTATGAAAACGTCGTTTCTTTCCAATTAAATAATAATTGAAACGAATTAAAATTTAATAATAAATGAAATATCGATCGTCGGATAATAATAATAACAAAATGAAACGAAGGAGATTTTGATAATAATAAGATATGATTTTTATAATTAAATTATTATTTGAAATTGATTTTATTTCTATAATTAAAATGGACACGATTTCAAATTAAATAATCACGAAACAGACTCGAATATAATTAAATAATTCCACAACAGAAATTTATTACTAGCTTTAACAATTGTGAAACATTAAATAAATTTAGAAAGATTAAGACAGATTTCAACCTTTGAATATCCAACAATGAAACAGTTTTGATAATTATGAAATATATATTCAACAATAGTGAAACAGATATCCAGTTTTAAATATTTATTCAATAACAATGAAAAAAATTGAACGTAATTCCATTTATATCCTTCGATACCTTGAACAGTATTGAAACATCTTTATAAATTCATTAAGAAAACAAATTAAAACCGATATTAAGAAGAAGACAGAATGAGAACGTACAGACTTTAACCCTGTACCATGAACGAAAAATAAACTCTTAGATATTATATATACATACCTAAAATTTCATTTATTTATTTACAAAGATAAGGAGGCCCCCTGTTATTACCTGTTGTAATTGTAATTATTTGTCCTGTTACGTAACCAGGGATCCCTTATTAGATCTAAGTAGCGTAACCCCTAATTTCCAAGGAGGCCCCAATAGCCTATTCTGCAAATAAGGCACCACCTTTTTCATAGTCTGCTAAGCCCCTAGTTACGCTATTGAACAAAGCAGACAATAATATTCAACACTAAATTCTTAGACGAAATAGATTTTTTTTTAAATTTAAATTTAATAGTAAATTAAAAACAAAAAAAAACACACACACACTTCAACACTCCATAAATCAACAGGAAAATCAACTTACAAAAAAAAAATACAAATTGTTTTTTTATCATACACAAGAAATATATTTTCTGGAAGGTGTTTAAGTTAAAAAGCGACTCTACCGATTTCCACCCTTCATAAAAGTAATGACTATAACAGAAAAAATTAAAAAAAAAATACATACAATCTACAGAAAAACCAGTAAAAAAAAAGTACACAAGACTTTAGATAAATTACAATTTTCCTTCGTTCCTGTAACTTATCTTTACTTCTGTAATGATTTAAAATTTATTTGATAAATGTTAGCGAATTCAGCAGCTGGTTGTATTATAATTTTTTTTCTCTTCTTCTTTTCTTACTACTTAACTTGTTTTATTCTGTAATTTTTTTTTAAATATTTTTTTCATAACAAATGCACTTCTTAGAGTGAATTAACTGCCTTTATTCATGGTTCCCCTACCATGACGCTCGTTTTTCATAACTACATTAATGTAAGGTGATTTGTTACCAAATACAATTTCCCTCTTTGTTATTTTTCTTCCTGACTTTTTGCAATCTTTATCGTTTTATACACATTTCTTTGACAGTTTAATTTTTAAAGGGCGACCCCAATTTACGGAAATGACGTCAATATTTATACCAAGTTTAAAATGTTTATTTTAAAAAAAAAATAAAATAATAATAATGATAATTTTAAGAAAATAATAATAATGATATTATTATTATTATTATTATTATTAAATTACATAATTGAGGCTCACCCTGTGTTTTCCGGATCGATGGAGGAAAATATCCCCGATTCTGACGTCACTACCGCCATCTGGTGATCTTCTTGAGAATCTTCTTTATAGAATTTATTCTTGTGTAATGGACTGTCTGTTATCTGTATTTCGTTCAGTTCTGCGGTTTGTGGTCCGCCATGTTGGAAGAGACCTTGAAGGAATTCTTCAAAACTAACTTTTCCATCCTGATCACAGTCTAATTTTTCGAATAATTGAGTGACCACCTTAAAAAATATATTTTTAGTACAATTACTTAAACCTATTTAAACGTGTTTTTAATAATAAATAAGATACAATAAAAGTATATAATGTGGCGCTCGCTAGGTGATACTAAAAACTTAAGCCTGTAGTGCCACCTAGCGCCACAAGTATTAACTAAAGCAAAATTAATTTTATTTATTTTCTGCTATTTAAAAAAAACTACTTAATTCAAATTTATAACGTGTAGAAATTTTTAATTTTTAATATTATATTTTTTATCATTAAAAAAAATTAAAAATTTAATATTGTTACTCTTCGCTAGATGGCGACACGTGGAATTGGCCGTTGAACTTACCTCGTCGGACATTTCCATACCGATCCGTTCGCAAACTCTGGCTAATTCTTCGAGATTCAAGTAACCGTCCTTGCCCACTCCTAATTTTTTCCATATTCCTTGCAAGTATTCCTCCGGATTTGTTTCTAAATTCGAATCGGATTCCATTGGCACATCGAGATGAGGATTCGTTTCCGATTCGAACGTTTCCAGCACTTGCTGATCAGAAGAAATCGTTACCATGGGTAAATTACCATTACTTCCGTATTTAATTGGCGATTCGTAACTACATTCCATCTTATTATCGACCTGAAATGAAAATTAGAAAATTAAACTCTTCTCCATCGATTGNGCATTTTGTTTATATAATGCTCCTACTTACGTCATTTAAGGGATGCCAACGACATACAAAGTGACCTTATTATAGGATATATGGCTTTGTAGCGTGCATAAGTGACCTTTGTCCACCTCCATTATGATTTACTAGAACTTCTAAACCGTTATTTTTCCTTAGAAAATTAAACTCTTCTCCATCGATTGCCTTCCTCTCGCAATCCTCCAATACTTACATCCGTAACCGAATTTTTAGTAAGGGAAGATCTTCGAAGAAGTGATGGAGTTCCGTCTATAGGAACGCAAAGTAACTCAGAATCCGAATAATCGGGAGTTCCGCCATCTTCATTAAATACCGGACGAGAACGTCGTCCGTACTTTTTCGTACCCAGGACAAATTTCGGAGATACTTCTCTATCTAAAATTATATATAAAGAAGAAATTAAGACGTTATAAAGCTACATAAACGTGCTAGAAAGTAGTGATCTTAAACCTGAAAGATGCTGGCTTCCCGTCTCCTCTTCATTATCATTTTCTGCAGAATCTGCTAAGCCAACTGATTCGGTGAGAAGTGATACAAATCCTTCTTTAAACTCATCGAAACCAACCTGTAAGCATGGTTAATTATATTCACAATCACTAAAAACAAATAAATTGTTAAAACAATCACTCACTTTAGCATTTGGATCATCTCCTAATAATTGATACACAAAGATATTCGTTTTTTCTGTCAGTTGGAGCTTGTGGCATAGCAAAATGAGTTCTTCTCTATTCAAAAAGCCCTTATTCTTTATGTCACAACTCTGAAATACCTCCCTAAGTTGGCTGACATACGTGTCTTGCTCCTCCGATTCGTTCATAGTAAAAGCCTCATCAGAACTGTAAAAATTAAAAAAAAATAATAATAATAACAACAATTTCTATTAGTTACTAAACCCCAATTCACTATTACGTGACATAAAAATTTAATAATAGAAAATTTGGACATAAAAAATAATAATAATAAAATTCCCACATTCGAACAATGAAATGACACGTCATAACTCATTCGAAAGGTTATTAAACTTCTATTTATATTATAATAAAGTGTATCAAAAGGATTTTTATTATGCAGTTGTTGGACTCAGGATAACCTTGAGTTGAAATTTTTTTTGTTTCTTTCTGATATCAGTCCAATGATTCTTACACAAGAATCGGTTATTTTGCCTGAAGGATGGGCGTAATAATATATTTTACAACTGGTAATTGAGTGCATGGGTTCATCCCTCTTCGTAATCGAGTTAATCTTGACCTAATTAGTTTAAACATCCAAATGGAACAATTAAGAAAATAATTAGTACTTTAGTGATGCATAATCAGATAAATGAACCATAAAGAAACTAATCGTGTAATGATCATGGCGATAAGAGAGAAAGAGAGAGAGATCTTGCTTGGGAGTAACCAATGGAAAACTGAACGTTACTGATACGTAAACAATAAAGCACACGTCAGACGAGAAACAATAAAGACTTTTCTTTTAAAAGAAGGAGACGAAATTACACGAAATTCGTAGCCTGAAGCTAAACACAAACTTACCATCTTCAAGAAACTAAGATGAAAGATAACCGCACTTCACTATTCCTCGGGAGATGCAGACAAATGCAGTTTCCCGCCAAGGTCCCAGTCCCAGGTGCTACAGCTTTTGTGTATAGAGGGTGGTGAGTCACTTCTCTCAGGTAAACAAACTGGACGGACAGGTAATAGTGCTTCTTTAGTAAGTTTTTGGGAGATATAATCCGCTACGTTGGGGGTGAGAATTTCGTCTCTATTTCTCTTTTATAAACACACACACACACACAAAAAAGGAGATAAATTTCGAAACGAAATGGCGCGATAAAAACATCCAATTTGCAAAAAGCATTTGTTAAATATTATTTTTTAGATAAATGGAAGTATAAACCGGCTGCAATTTCGTGTTTATCTCGATATTTCAATTAAGTTTTGCTACCAAAAAACCGTTTTCGGCTGACAATCGATACAAAGAATAGCATCGTTCACCCTCAACAGATGGCAGAAGATTGTACACAGGCCTACACCACAACAGAAGATATTTGAATTTTTTATGATTTTAAATTTATAAATAAATTATTTTTCAAAATGCCGAAATAATATATCAACTCCCAAGTTTTTATTTTCTTTTATATTCGTAAAAAATCCCTTCAACGAAATTTTCAAATTGTTAGATATTTCTATAAAATTTAAAAGAGAGAAAAAGAGAGAGAGAGAGAAAGAAAAATGTATATTTCTGTAAAACTAGTTTTCATTGGTGGAAATTAATATAATTTCAAAATTCGCGTGGCGCCATCTCGCGCTATAAATCGACTCGATTTTTGTAAAGAATTTTGAAAAGATGTTATTAAACGAAAGAACTAGATTATTAATTCGGATTTTTAAGTGATAACAAGATACTCGTTACATCACGAGCCTACCATTATAAGAATCGGCGAAACGTGACGGCAATTACGTCACAGGAGTCTCACAATAGATAAAACGTCGGAATTTTACATAATAGAAACATACGCAACGAAGAGTAAATCCTTTCATAAACAAGCTCGAAAAACACGTATATTTACACTTATTACGTAGATATTTTTTCTTTTATACAATTCTGTGAACTAAATTCGAAAAATCCGACCTGGTAAATAAAGTACAGTAGGCCTATATCATAGAACCTCTTAAATTAGGACGTGCTTTTGGGAGGTTAAGATTTATTGTCTCTTGAATAAATTAATACTAAAATAATTTTCAAGTGGGGAAATTTTATTTAAAAAATTTCCGAAAAATGAAAGAGGTTCTCTATACAGAAGAAAAATAAATAAAAAAAAACGGGGTTGACACAACGCCTCTGGTGACTCTACCCAAAACGTTGACCCTCTGAAATTAGCTCATCTGACAAAAAGATGAAGTCAGTTCGTAAAATTACGTCATGTTTATAAAAGAATATTTGATTCGAGTTTATTTATAAACAGCATTTTGTTTATATAATGCTCCTACTTACGTCATTTAAGGGATGCCAACGACATACAAAGTGACCTTATTATAGGATATATGGCTTTGTAGCGTGCATAAGTGACCTTTGTCCACCTCCATTATGATTTACTAGAACTTCTAAACCGTTATTTTTCCTTTAAAAATTAGGTTGTTGCGCGCCATTACCGCATCCTTTTTCTTAAAAATTTTAATTTAAAATAAAAAAATTTCTTCCGCCTTTTGACAATTTACCATCTTCCGAAAAATTATAACGGCTTTTAACACATATTTATATATATTTTTTTTTTACTTAGACAAGACGGGATTTTTCTAAATTAGATTATTGTAACTATAGCGTGATCGAATCCAATCTTATGCGCCGTACCTGATAGCACAGGTGGCAACACCCCTTCTATCCCCCGATTTCGCTTTGGGCGTGGTACATTGTTGCTATAGTAACATTTCATGACGTCGGTAGTACACGTGCGGGCTAATCACGTGCCTTAATGGATAGAGGAAATGCGATTGTGTATAAGCCATTTAAAATTTTCCATTGATACAAATTGGATTTCGATAAACTCACCTATCTATCGACTTACACGTCAGGTCGGACTAATAAATTTAAAACCCATAAACATTTTCCGCTTTGGTCACGTGACGTAGGGTCAATAACCGATCCTAGTATCCAGGTGATCCTAACTACGGTCCACCAATACACTACACAAATGAATAGGATAGTTTTATATAGAGAAAGGACGTCGAACATTAACCGTTCTTTGCCATTTCCTCTTGTATTGCAACGTAAAGTAATTACCAAAAATCTATTGTTTACGCCATTCTTTTAGAATTAATTATGTAATAACAATTTATTTTTTCAAAATTTTAAAACAGTATCTTATTTAGATTTAATTATATATTTGAAAACTTGTAATTAATATCAGAGCCTTGGAGAGTAATTGCGGGCCCCGATGCTAGGACCTCCCCGGCCAGAAGCGGCCCTACATATAGAGTAAAAAGGCGACGCATATCCTATGGTCAAACAGGACAATTGTCTGAGGGCCCCACCAACAGGTGGCCCCAAAACCAATCTTTTGTAAGAAAATATTTCCCCCAAAAAATTCCCCCGAAGAAAAATGTCTGAAGTCAACACCGTACATGGGTTCCCCTAATTCAAATTCTCCCGGTCCCACGACGCTAGAGGCCAGGAAAATTTCGTATTACTTTAGTATTTAAATCATCAAATTAGTAATTATTAAAAATACGACTGTTTTCTGTTTCTATATCAAAAATGTTCACATTATTGTAGACCTAAATAAATCTATGCTCTTTTAATTAATGGATCTCAGATATAACGTTTGCTTAGGGCCTCCTTTGTCCTTATAATGCGACACTTTCTGTTTGCTATATTTCTTTTACTTTTTCAAGCACTCGAAATGAGATACAAAGAGATTTTTCTAGACTTTGTAATATAGATTTCCACCCCGGAGAACCCCATCTTCTCTTCCTTCTCGTCTGTCTTCATTAATATTAATAAATAGTATAATAATACTATTAACTTGTTATATTTCATACAACAGACATAAATTTTTGTTAATTTACAATCGTATTTGGTATATAAACATCATTTATTAAGAAATTCGCTTGCAGTAACTTCACTCCACGTTTAATTCTGTCACAATATGGTATTATAATGTACGAAAGTATCAATTAAATGAATGTATCATAAAAATTTCATCAGAAAAAAACACTGAAATAATGACATTGCATCCTTTTTATTATGATTAGTTTGTAATAGAACCACTCCTCTGATGATTACAGCATATATTCAATTATTAATTATACTAAATATACACAAAAATGATGAGAATATGAATCTTTAATATAATATAACATTAGACTTATTAAAAAATAAAAGGCATTTTACTTTCCTAACTGTTATATATACATTATCCTCTCCAAGATTTTTACATTTTTGAATTCGGGAGACCTTGAAACGTCGACAAATGCAAAAGAACTTGGGGATTTTTTTGTATGTATGAAGTTAGTATGTGTGGAGGGCACGATTCTGTTCACCCACTTTGAAGCTTTATAATTCCCGTACCTTTTGTCGAAAATTTCTGAAATTTTTCTAGAAATTTGCAGGAAACAGGAGCATTGGTTCAGGAGATATTAAGGGAGTGAGGCCATATTTCAAACAGATTCCTGAAGACAAAGGTAATGGTAACAAATATTAGAGATGAAAACATCAACAACGTTGTCAACTATTTTTAACGCATTTTATACTTTTTTTTACATGTTTTATGTTTTAAAAAATACATAAAACATGCCAATCAAACGGGGGTAATGTTTTAAAAACTTTATAGAAGTAAATCTTCGTGTAAAGTGTATACATTCCAAGTTATTCACTAGAGAGTTCAACTATTTTAATTACATATAAAAGTTTACTGAGAGACTAACAAACATACAGGTGCTAAATAAATTAGCAGAAAACGTAAATATAGATTCTTCAGAGATATTTAAGACATCCCCAAAAGGCCAGATAACCCTTTCTAAAAGTTTCATCACTCTAACTTTGCGAACAATGTGAATAAACATAAAAAATACATATAGAGAATAATGCCTTTATGTAGAGATATTATTATTATTATAATAATTAAAACAATTGTAATTGTGTTATTTAATGATTAGATTGTAGCTAATGGCTTGGTTCTGTGTATAAAAAATTGAAGCAATTGACGTCACATTCAATTCAAACGGGCGTATCCTCTATTGGATTCTCTCTCTCTCTCTCTCTCTCTCGATAGCATGGAATCGATAAAGTTTCATTAAAGCTCAATAGGTCGAAAAATAATAAATAAATAAAATAATTCCATTAGCCTATATATAGAAATTAAAGCATAAAATTAAATGCCGATGGTTCCAACCGGATTACTTAAACACTAATGATCAAGCGTGCATAGCAAAAATCCGCGTGTCAAGGTTGCTAGAGCAGGACATCACGTCACGTTCTCGGAAAGTATGACACTTTTGCAATAAAAGAAGACATCGCAAAGCCCGAAAAATGCTATTAAAAATGATATTTAACATCGCTGAAATTCTTATAAATCTTTTGTTACTCTGCCTACCTCAGTCTACCGTTCTGTGAGGCTGGAAATCGAACCCAGACAAGCAACCACAGAAATTTTTAGTGGATTGTTTCTCCCGGATATGTCGGGTCCCGTCTCTCACCACACTGTTGTCCTCATTGTGGGCCTGCCGAACCCATAATAGACTGGCTAGAAAGGCCATCTTAGTGTCCATAGAGCGGAAAGAGCCCCAAAAATGAAAAAAAAAAAAAACATCTTGCGTGTTGAATAAAGAGTTAATAAAAAAAAGTATTCAATTTAAAACGGATAAATAGCAATAGTAAAAAATGTATATGTATAATTTCTTTCCTTTGTATTTGTATTTCAAATTCCTCGTTAAAGGATGTAAGTTGAAGAGTAATTTATGCATTTAACGAGTTAAAAAAAAAAAAAAAATAGAAATTACACTTAGAATCAGTTCATCGCGACTGATAATCTGAACTAGATTATAAGATAACGATTTCAAATAGATATAAATATGCATTGTGACATATTTTGTACCGAAAAAAATCGATAAAAATAACTAAAATGATTAATTTAGGAACAGCCAGCAAGGAAGAAGAAGAGGAAAAAATAAAAACAGTCATAACTTGCCAATAACAGTTTTCCCTCTATTATTATAATTATTACTTTACTAAGTTTTCTATGGAATAATCACTCTATTCATTATTATTTTTTTATTTTCTATTCTATTCAATTGTTAATATTATTAAATGATTATTTCTATACGATTGCATGCGATATTTTTCCAACTGTATACCGAAATAAATGAATGTTGAACTCTTCAACTAAGACAATTAAGCAAGCGAAGCACTCCTCGAAGTTTATCTTCTTTTCGAACGAATTACTTCTTATTTTCTCAACTTCGTCCATCGAAGAAAAGAAATTTTCAGGAAACTCTACGTGAACTATAAAACAAATTATCCATAAAAGGAAACGTTATACTAGAAATTTCTATAATTTATCAATACGTCGTTCTTATTTTATGCAAATACCTAGTAAAATTGTGTATTTAAAGGTACTGTACTTAACATATTATTTTTTTCCCTATTTTTTTGGAGCATTACTTTTGTTTTAAACTCAATCGAAGAGGATAAGTTTTGATTGTTTATTTCTTTATTTTGTAGGACAATGATTCAACACGAGCGACAACTAAATTGCCTCTTTCGCAACTTCCTATCTTTAAGCATTTTCATCTCTCCCCATTTTAAAAATCAAGGACGAGGAGAATTTCTTAGAAAGATTTAATTGTAATAGAACATTGTTTATAAAATTTATAAAGTGCAAGCTTTGTTTTAATTAAAAAAAACACAATTTTTTTAATAATAAATTATGAGTGATAAAGAATGAAAACAAAGAGAGTTAAACACTTTACTAGTCTTTACATTCTCTGTGATGACTTGGTACAAATTTTTTCTTTTTTAAATTAAAACGACCTTGCCAGCTTGATACTTCTACAAATAGTGTAATAATCTATAGGTGTTTCTCACCTTTCCATTCTTTTGGGAGGTCAAGTTAGCACGAGGGCGTAGAAACAGAAACATACCCAAGTGAGTCATAAAGACGATTCTTTTTAATCCCAAATTTAATTTAGACACCCGATCTGTAGATAAAAAAATATCATTTGCTGACTGAGGAATTGTCTTCAGCGAATTTACACGATATGTAACCTCGATATTAGGTTCTAAAGTTTAAAATGTCATTACTATTGTTTCTATTCACTTTGTATGGCGTGTCCTTCGGCGCGTCGTCGAGACGTATTTATGAAGTTTTTTGTAAATATCAATTATAAAATATTAATTTACTCGAGTTTTCTTGATATAGACTTAATTTAAGAAAGTTAGAGTGTGTTTTTGAATAGTGGATAGATCAATTCAACAAACAGAGATCATTTATTCGCTTCGGTCGCGTCGCGCAAGCGCGACGCGACCGAAGCGAAAAGAAGCGAAGCAGGTGTACCACTAAACAGGGGCTAAAAGAATAATATTTCACGTTCAAAAGTTAATTATAATTGAAATGTTTAATTTGAATAATAAAACAAGAATGATTTACTAGGATAAAGCATTTCATATGCTTTGTAAACTAAAAAAAAATAGGGTTTTAGGCCTGTACATTCCATAATTTGAATTTAGAATATGTAATGAAGCGCAAAGAATCTATTTTGAGTAAAAAATGAATAATAATTTCCCTTGCTTAAAATTTTCTCTTCTTCTATTCAATCTTTTCCTCGACGTCCATTAAAAGTAATCTAGTCCAAAATACCTATAAACAGTGAACTGTATCGACTGATGGACTGTTCTAATATCATATGACTGCTGACAGAAAAGACAGAGTTACAAAGTTCCAACAGGAAATAAGTCGACTATTTTTGTATTTTGCTCACGTTGCCCTTCTTCCAATGGGGAAAAAATAAAAGAAAGGTATTTTCTCGGCATAACGAACTTTGTAAACTGTGCGTTAAGAAGGTGAAACGGTCGCTTTAGGGGGTGTTGCTTGCCTAAACGAGTTCAACTTTCCATAACAAAAAAGGAAAATATACTATTTAAACGTCTTAATTAATATAATTAATTTCCATCTACCATGAGAAAGTGTAAGAGGCTCAATAATTTAATATTTTTAACGTATAAAACAAGGATAAAATGTAGTAAACATGCATAAAACTGGGAAGTAATGTAAATAAATTGCAAAACTACTGCAAGATGTCAGTAAACTTTTCTTTATATAGTTCATCGAATTGATATTTTAATCGCTAAATATCAGAACGACCTTGAAAGCTTTTTTTAAAACTTAGTTTCCTTTATTTAGATCGAAACAAAAACAGCATTTCTAGTCACCCCTCCGCGCTTCGCGACGCGTTACGTTATGTTTATTTGTATGTCGCGTCGCTATACTACGCGCCGCGCGAAATAAGTAACTTAAAAATACCGTTAATATAAACTGACGGAATAATTGTTAGCATTAAAAAGTCCTATTAATCTACGACTACTGTTTACATTTGTGGTACAGGCACCAAATGCCGAAATGTAAGATAAAGATTATGTAACATAAACATTAGAAATTGGCTACGTATTTAATAAATACGTGAATCACTTCTTAAAAAATGGCTGTGATCGATAGAGGATGGTCGTGGGTCGTAAGTGCCGCTTGTTTTGTCAATATGTTGTGTGTGATAGGTCTGTATAGGGCATCGGGGGTGATATATTCAGCAATTATCGACACCTTCGGTGTGACGAGGGAAGAAGCTACTTGGCCTTTCTCATTGGCTGGAACAATTGGATTGCTTGTGTGTAAGTTCATTTTCGAATTATCTCGAGTAGAACTATCATTAAAGTTATTATTCGAATGCGAGGACTTTAATTTTATTCATTTACTTCTTAAGCTGTCGTAGGAAAAATAAGGAAACGTGAGACAATATTATAGCCTATTCTAAGGATAAAATTTAATATTAAATTGCTACAAATTGTAAAAGGAATTCGATGGAAAGTTTAGATAATAGTTGAACACTGATAAAAATAGACTTTCAGATAAGCAATAAATTTTAATAAATGTATAGTTTACTTACCGTAATTAAATAATTATACAGCAAAAATAGTAAATATTACTGAAATAAATTTTTAATTCTCTTTTTATTAAACTGGATTTATGGGATAAGGCAACGCAACACATGTGCGAGCTGTCAAGGGTGGGTGCCTTCCTGAAGAGCTTTTTATGGGAAACTGACCTTTATTCTAAGTTATTAGACACGTGATAAACACCCTAAAACTTCACGCGGCCAGCCCATTGGCAAGGCGCGAAACCACGACCAACTACCACTGTTCGGGGGGTTTAAACTACTCGGTCATCGATGGGCCTTGTCATCTTCGATTAAAATTAAAACGATGGAAAAGTTTATAATACTTTTGAAATAAATTCTTTTCATCTTAAGAATAGATCGAATTTCTAAATTTCTACGAAATTATTTAATAATTAATAAAAACAAAGACTTACTTACAAAAACATTATATAATTGAAACAATTTGATAAACCATAACTATATATCTTATGTTTTAATAACAGCATTTTTATAAAGTCCAATTACTGATTTGAATATAAACAATTATAATTTTGCTTATTGCATAAGAAAATTTTTGTATGTCATAATTGTGATCTAGTTTCATTAGTCGTTATTTAACAATAAGAGTTAATAAAGTTAGCTAAGTTTACTTAAAGAGATTAGCAAATTGTAATTGAGGAAACAATTTAATATTTCAAGATAGAAGCTCTCAGTAGGGTAGCGTGAAAAATGAGCAGGAAGTCTCAAGAAGTATTGAGAAAAATTGCATATTTTTCTATCTAGCAACAAGTTTAAAAGAGAGACAGAGACAGAAAAAGCACTAATGACTTATCAAGTTTACTTAGAATTTAACTTTGTAAAAAATTATTATAAGTTATCTACTGGCGTATGTATAGTTTAATTGACAGTATATAAATGTAAATAAAATTAAAATCGCCATTGCACAACGGTCGAAGTTTGAAAGACTATTTCCATACAGATGATAACTCATATTACAAAATTTAAATATAACTTGCTCAATTTCCTGTTAAAAATTGACGTGTTCGATAGAGTAAACTGCAATTAATAAAATTAATGATTGCATTAATATGTCCAAGAAATTGAATGCCTGCCCAATTAAGTCTTTCTAAATGTTTATTAATACAGTATTTAAAAATTCATAAGTTTAATAGAAATACTTTATGCAATTTATGTTTCCCATACATAAACTAAGAATTATAGAACAATTATAACAATAATAGAATATATTTAATATAGTGAATAAAACCGCTGACCACTGCGGTTAGTCCTGATCAACTCGCTGGCCAAGGGGAGTTTTCTTCGCGTGTCTAAATAGGGACCAGGGCCCATATTCTGGTCACCGTCTCTGGTCTCTCGTCTCTCACAAGCTGATCGCTGATTGGCTAATCATTTGGATTAGCCAATCAGCGACCGGCTTACGAGAGACCAGAGACGGTGACCAGAATACGACCCCAGTTTCTCTATAGAAACTCCTCGCAGGAGGCGCTCCCTCTTAGCAGATTGCCCACGTGTTGCATTATCTCATCATGTGACTCCATACCACTTCATTAAAACATATTGCTCAGCAGTTTTTAAATATTAATACTTTAAATTAATTAATAATAAAGTTTTTATCTTCTGAAATTATTGTATATAACATAGACTTAACACTGCTAATAACTCTAATGTGTTACTCTTTAAACTCATCCAAAGATTGATTCCTCCATACCCCATACCACAGAAGAAATTAAATTATTATTGATAAGATCTAAAATAAAAATTATAAATCATTTGCAAAAGTTTATAAAATAAACACATATTTTACATTAAATTTTGAGATTTAATTCAAAAATTACGAAACATTTAATTATTTATTTTAATATAAAATTGAGGAAGTGTTTCTGACATCACAATTCAATCTTAAAAATTATATGTTTATATTTATATTATTTATGTTATTTAGACTAAATAAAATATAAGCTATATACGAAATGACATCAGGAAATATTAGAAACAGAAGTGAATCTCATGAATTCAATATATAAATAATGTCTACAGAAACTAGGCCTATGTGACAAAATCCTCTTTACAATTGGGACAATATCGATCAAACTGATACCATTTAATAACATAGATTTCATGAAATGTTTTTCCTATTATTGTTTAATTATATACTTAAAAAAATAAAACTAATTTCTTTAATCATTTACTAAATAAAATGTAAGCTATATACGAAATGACATCAGGAAATATTAGAAACAGAAGTGAATCTCATGAATTCAATATATAAATAATGTCTACAGAAACTAGGCCTATGTGACAAAATCCTCTTTACAATTGGGACAATATCGATCAAACTGATACCATTTAATAACATAGATTTCATGAAATGTTTTTCCTATTATTGTTTAATTATATACTTAAAAAAATAAAACTAATTTCTTTAATCATTTCTTAAATTATTTCTAAATACTTAAAAAAATAAAACTAATTTCTTTAATCATTTCTTAAATTATTTCTAAATGTTTTCGGAGTTTTCATTTTCTAATACAGTATCCTACACTTTAATTCTTTATTTAAGAGAGGATTAATTCTTAATTAAAAGCATCAGGAAAAAATTCAATCACTGACCTAAAAATGAATATTTTATTAAGTTCTACATCTAAATATTATTATTAAAAGAAATAATTTCTTCTCTAGCTGTTTGTAATGGTATATTGTGCCAACTCTTCACCATTAGAACAATTGCAATTTCGGCAACACTCGTCAGTTCAATTGGCCTAGCATTATGTTTCACAGCTCACGAGGTTTTACCGCTCACCATCTACTTAGGTTTCATTTATGGTAAGTTAAGCATTAATTCTATCATTTTATATAGAATAAAAATATATATAATTTGGAATATTACAGGGTTCGGTATAGGAATCATCAATGTGTCCTGCTTAATCATTACTTGCCAATACTTTAAAAAGTACAAAACTATCGCTATCGGAGTATTATACGCTGGTACGGCAACGGGTTCCTTTATTCTTCCGCCATTAATAGAATATTTATTAAAAATATATGGACTTCGAGGTACATTTCTTATACTTTCTGGTATCTGCTTGCAAGGTATGGTTGCTGCTGCTCTGTACAGACCTCAAGAATTAGATGATGCCAAGCCAAATAAATGTGAAGAAAAGTTGAAATTTGCTTCGAAACCAGCTCAAATCATTTCTAAATGGGTAATAATCTTTCGTTTTCGGATATTTTACCTTATTTGGATAACTTATGCGGTTTATCACTTCACATATTTCATCTTTCCTACTGTTATCGTCGATTATGCATCGGACTTGAATATCAAAACCAACAAAGGAGTATTTCTTCTTTCTGGTTACTGTATAGGTGATTTATGTGGTCGCCTGTCATGTGGATGGGCTACTGACGTTCTCAGGATAAAGAAAAAGTACGTGATAATCGCTTCGTTTCTTCTTCAAGCCGTGATCTTATTAATTACACCTTTCTATAACAGTTATATATTTTTAATGTTTGTGAGCGCAGGAGTTGGATATTTTACCGGTTGTTTAATGCCTCAATGGCCCGTAATCTTCGCTGATTATCTTGGTTTGACTCACTTGCCATTTGCAATAGGAACCGTTTTAACTTTAACTGGTTTTCTCCCATTTTGTTTCCCATATATAATAGGTAAGTGGATTTATAAAAGTTTAAAACCATAATTAACCATATAATATTAACCATATTAACATATATAATATTAACCATAATTAACCATATAATTCCTGATACGGTGAGGAGCAGAGAAGAATCATGAGAAAAATACATTATTCTCTGCTTAATATCTTAACGAAGATATTTCGAGACAGGTCTCTCTTAATTAAGGAAATTGAGATTAATGAAAGAGTTTGAGAATAATCAAAATATTTATATTTCTCACGTTATAATAAAATCAAATTAAATCTAGAAAGGAAACAATAGACAAAATTTCGTCATAATTAATATAATAATTAACATTACTTATCTATGAATATACAGTATATTTCTTGGAATATCTCAATTTACCTTTATTTTTAAAGTTAATTATAATTAAAATATTCTATTTTATATATATTTTATTAAATTTGGCAAAGAGGAAGATTTTATATAGATTTTTCTCTCTCATTTCTCAAATATTATTTATTATAGGATTTAACTAGTCACAACTCATTTTAAATAATTTAAAAGTTAGTAAAATTTTATTATATATTTAAAAATTTAATATATTTTTACAGGATATTACAGGGATATAAAAGGTAGTTACAGTTCACTTTACTTCACTTGTGCAGGGATCAATTTATTAGCTGTTTTATTATGGAGTTTGGAGCATCTGTTTGTAGATAGGCCTATTAATTCTCCATCCTAACGTGGATATCGTCTCCGATTTAAAGTAATATATCAAATCAAACAATTTTATTGTTTTGTTTTGTAGGAAGATCGTTGTACCGAGAAGAAATAGCACGAAAATGAGCTTGGAAGGAATGAAAAATTAAAAACTCAACACAATTTAACCTAACTTGTTTGGTTAGTCTGAGTGTCTGTCTTGCTTGGATGATCAACTATGATAATAGCATTCTGCTTTTTACATACAGTAACAATGGAAAATAAAAGAATAAAAATACCATAACAAAGTGTTAAATCGCTTAATGATTAAGATGTATTTAATCGTTTAGATCGATTAAATGCGTCGTTGAATTAATACAAATTACTAAACCATAGTTATGAATCTTCAAACGTGATCATTTTCCACTAAAAATTTGGCAATACTAGGCTTTTAATTGAATCACATTAATTACAATTAACGGAATTCATTACGAATACCTACAAATTTGGTTAAATTAGCGCATGAATTTCAATTAGTTAACTGTAATAATGAGCGAGGCGGTTAAGGCATCATCTTACCTCTCTGGAGAATCCGAGATCGAATACGGTGAGGAGTTTTTTGGATGGTCTTCCCGGATATGTGGTGTCTTCTCTCAGTACCTGTGCCATTATGAGACTGGATGAACCCACAATGAGCTTGAAAGAAAAGCCTTTTAGTGCCTACTTCTCTAGAGAATCCGGGATGGAATGTGGAGAGCAAACCCAGGAAACTTTTGGGATGGTCTTGCCGAATATGTGTGGTCTCCTCTAATCACCCGTCTCATTGTGAGCCTGGCTGAACCCGCAATGGGCTTGAGTGCCCACAGAGCGTAGAGTCAAATAAAGTTAAATACAATTATCAGATCTATAACAGGGTTAATTTTAATTAAATATGCTGTATTGATACATAATTACCATAATTATACTGTAATCAATTACAATTATATTATCAGGTTAATGATTTAAGGTTAAATATTATCATATTTAAATCATAGCAGAGACTAACTCAAAAATGCCTTTCAAGATAAACTAGTTTATCATAATATGAACTTATATATATATATATATTATTATAAAATATGTTAATTATGCATCGGTGTAGCATATTTAATTAAAATTAACCGCGCTATCGATCTGATAATTGTATTTCTCGTCATTACAATTAGTGAATTGGTAACTGTGCTCGATATTAACCAAATTTGAAGGCAATCTAGTTAATTCGGTTAACTGAAATTAATATAATTGCATTTAACTTCATCGAATCTTATAATTGTTAAGATTAAATAATTAACTTAATTTACAATAATATTATATTACCAGAATTAACTGTAATTAATGTGTTTCTTATTTAAAGACTGTATGGTTATAATCGTTTACAATTGATATTTTAACTTCAACAATAATTACAATTAAAATCATAATTATTGTAAGATAATATTAAACACGATGAAACCTTTAATATGGCTTTATGGACATCATGCAGTTAATCTCCATTTTAAAAAAATTAGTTGACGCGAAAAGCATAATTAATTAATATTTAAAACTTAATTATAATTAAGCATTAAAACAATTTTTATTTATATTACAATTACGTGCAATTAACTTTGCTTGTAACTGAAGTAATAAACTGTACGAGAGGAATCATTATTAATTTTAGATGTTATCAGCATAATTGGATTAATGTGTTACTGCAAGCTCTTTAATTTTATTTTTAAAATATACGATTTTAACCATAGATTATTCCGTATTAACCGTAGATGTTAATTGGGTATTTTAACCGCAATTCATTCTGCTAATTAAAGATTTTAACCATAGTTTATTCACTGTTAATTGAGGATTTAAACCATAGTTTATTCACTGTTAATTGAGGATTTAAACGTTTATTCACTGTTGATTGAGGATTTAAACCATATTTATTCACTGTTAATTGTGGATTTAAGCCAAAGTTTATTCACTGTTAATTGAGGATCTAAGACAAAGTTTATTCACTTTTAATTTAGGATTTAGACCATAGTTTATTCACTGTTAATTGAGGATTTAAACCATAGTTTATTCACCATTAATTGAGGATTTAGACCATAGTTTATTCGCTGTTAATTGAGGATTTAGACCATAGTTTATTCGCTGTTAATTGAGGATTTAGACCATAGTTTATTCGCTGTTAATTGAGGATTTAGACGTTTATTCACTGTTAATTGAGGATTTAAACCATAGTTTATTCACTGTTGATTGAGGATTAAGCCATAGTTTATTCATTGTTAATTGGGGATTTTAACCATAGTTTTTTCACTGTTAATTAAGATTTTTTTACTGTTAATTGAGGATTTTATCCATAGTTTATTCACTGTTAATTAAGGTTTTTAATTACAGACAATCCACCGTAAATTGCGAATTTTAAAGTTTTTCGCTGCAAGTTTGGAGCATCTGTTTGTAGATAGGCCTATTAATTCTCCATCCTAACGTGGATATCGTCTCCGATTTAAAGTAATATATCAAATCAAACAATTTTATTGTTTTGTTTTGTAGGAAGATCGTTGTACCGAGAAGAAATAGCACGAANATAGTTTATTCGCTGTTAATTGAGGATTTAGACGTTTATTCACTGTTAATTGAGGATTTAAACCATAGTTTATTCACTGTTGATTGAGGATTAAGCCATAGTTTATTCATTGTTAATTGGGGATTTTAACCATAGTTTTTTCACTGTTAATTAAGATTTTTTTACTGTTAATTGAGGATTTTATCCATAGTTTATTCACTGTTAATTAAGGTTTTTAATTACAGACAATCCACCGTAAATTGCGAATTTTAAAGTTTTTCGCTGCAATTTTTTTACGAAATTAAAATAAAAAAATTTAAAATATTCTCAAGTTTTACTCCATTTTATTTTGAAATTTTATATGTAATTTTAATTCGCTATTAAACAAGAATAAAATATTATTATTATGAAATTTTATAACAAAAATAAGCAAAACGAAAAAAAGCATAACCTGATGTATTTTTAAATGTTAAATTGCATAGAGATAAAGAAATTTGATTGGAGTTTTTACAAGAATAAAATTAAAACTTATAAATCTGAATAAAATTCGAAAATTTCGTTCTAGAAGATGATAAAATAAAACGAATTCTTCCTGAATAAAATTTATTTAGAAATTCCTCCAGTTTAATACATTAAAATAAGATCATTTAATGTAACTTTAAGGTAAGTTGATTCTACAATTACACGGCAAAAATATACATTCATTAAGCCGAAATTACTTTCGTCTACCTTAAAAATATCCATATTTTACAGTAATTTTGTATTTTATTTTACAGTAATTGGTAATAGCAGATTATAAATTAAATTTAATTGATATTTAAGAGGAAAATAATATATTTTCTATTATATTTTAGCAATAATTATAATCATATATATAAGAAATTAAAGATAGAAATAATATTTTAATAAATTTCATTAAAAAACCGAATACATTTATAACGAAAAATCTTTAAAATTATCTATAATATACATAAATGAATATTAAACAGTTAATTGCACGAAATAACTTTTAAAAAATCGATAAAAATATGTAAATAATTCAAAAAAATAATTAAAATTAAAAGCATATAAATTTATTTAAAATTATAATCAATTTTTAATAAAATTCTGTATAAAACTTCAAAACTTTTGATCCAATTTTGCATTTAAGTGTACTGTACATTCGACTCCCAAAATCATTTAAAAATTTCAAATATAAAGTCGTAAACACAGACAAACAGACGGACAAACGAATATATATATATTTTAATGTGTAAAAATATATAATTTTAGAGATACAATTCAAATATTTTTAACATTCTATTAAACTATAGCATTATTATATAGTATGTAAAGACTTAATCATTTGTTATATTCTATAGAATATCTCCATTAGATCATTATCTTGGCGAATGAGTTACTCAACCAAGAATAATTTTGCCATTTAAACACGTACAATGCTTCATATACAGGATAGTTATTATATTTGCTATCACAATGGATCCGTAAGTGAATTAATTCAGCATTTTTTCCAGGTTTATATCCTACAAATGCCAAAATATAACTTATGAATCCTTCTTAAGCCATGTAAAGTAATTAGCGAGTTGAATAAACAATTGTCTCATTGAGGAATTTTCTAATGGCCATTGTTTTTTTTTCTTTCCACGAGTTAATCGTATCAATGTCGGTCAATTTCGTGAAATTTTAATCCTCTTCGTGCAATTTTCGACGTTTAAGTGATTAATAATGATTAAGAATAAAATTAATAACATGTGAAGTGTTTTGAACATTAATAACAGGAATTAAAATTATTTTTTCAGGTAAATAAAATCAATAAATTTCCTAAGAAATTCTTCACACTTTTGCTCATAAAATAATAAATTTCACGATAAATAAAGACAAAAAAATTCAATTTTTATTTAAGTTTATAAGTCGAAAGTGTATTAAATGAGCGAAGTTCTCCCATCAGCGAAAGCTTAAACGTGTAAAAATAAAAATATTAAAAATCTTTTTTAAGTTATTATAAATTCAAGTAAATTAAAGTAAAAAAAATTCTCTGACGTCACATATATGATTAACATGATAAACATGTTTTTAACAAGTTAAGCATTAAAGAAGCCATAGAAGAGAAAAAGAAGCGGAAACGTATCAAGTACAATTATCAGTCAAGGGATGAATGATGCTCTTGTATAGCTATTGACTTTTTTTTATATATATATATACATTTTTTTAATTAAAATTGTAAAATCTGCTGAACTAGATCATAACGGGTGTTGGTTCCGGTTTCTAGACACATAAATTCGTTTTTTTTATTCAACTTATCCGGATCTACTTGGACAGTTTGTTACGCTTATCCTAACTAATACGTTACAATTAATTTGGATACTTTTGTATATAAATTTTAAATATTTTTATTTATTTTTTACTTTATTATACACGTAACTTTAATTCCAATTATTATTATTCGAGAAGGGTGTATTATTATTTTATATAGTACAAAGAGATTTCTTTTTATTCTCGCTATGTTATAAATTAATAGAAAAATTTCTAGTTGTAGCTACAATAAGTACCTCATTGTAGAATTTAAATAATCAAAATTTTCCTGAAGGTAAAATCCGGGTTATGAAATGTGAATAATATTCGTGTTATGACAACATACCTTAAGTTTTTTTTTTTTTTCCTATATCTTTCTCTTCTGTTGTTCTCTTAAAAATTCCAGGAAGGATTCAACTACGTTAAGAGGTAATCAGGAACCCTTTAGCAGGTCGTGTCCTTCTAATAAACCTGCCATAGCGTAATTTAAATAAGTACTTTTTATACAGGGCAATCTGTTGTGGAGGGAAAAAAAAGCCAAGAATGTGCATCTTTTATATCCTCTGTAAAAATTTTCTTCGCATCCCTCGTCGTTAAATTCTTAATGATAGTGTTTAGAATATATCCGGCTACAAGAGAGATTTTCTTTAGTTCCTTTAAAATATTTTCCTTTCCTCGAACGTTAATAAAATTCACCTATATTATAATTAACATTTAAAATAAGTGGAATAAATGGAGCGACTTC